CCTATTCCTTCTTACCAAACAATGTAATTTAAATTCCCACCGAATTACAATTCTTTTCCCTCCTCCATCCCTCCAACCAAACGCCCCGTTAGTGCAACAAATATTCCGTCGCAAAACTTATATTCTGGCGCGACTCCGTTGTCTTTTTAAATTATTTATAATTATTTTTTTAAATAGTAATATGAACTTTTAAAATATTAATATAAAAAGTAAATTCCATTTTTGGTCCTACTCTTATAGGGTAAATTTCAATTTTAGTCCACCATTATTTGCCTTGTAACATTATGACCACTGTTATTATAAGTATTTCACTTTTAAATTTTAATCTACCATTAACATTTCTGTGGGTTAGTCGTGTAATTCAATTCAGAGGTATTTCCGTCATTCTATAGTTAAGCTTCTCCTTTACCATTTTCACTAGTTTTCCTTTCCCTTTCCCAACCAAATTGTATAGATTATAAATGGATATTTGAAACCTAATTCAAACCACTCTTCTCCATCCTCATTTGTCTTTATACCAAAAACGCCATCTTTTAAATCCCAGTAAATCCATGGGTTCTCGTTCTGATGATCAAGAACAACAACTTCACAGATAACCAACCTACGCAGAGGTTAAAAAAAAAAGAAGAAAAGAAATATAATAAGCAGAATACCATCTATGTAGCTAAAAGATCAAGGAGTCCTAATGTAGCTAATAATATTCCCAGTTAAATTGCGGACGAATTCTTCTACCCATAGAAATGGATAGGTCAATTGAAAAGAACAAGAAATATAAGCAGAAAGAGGAGTAATTCGTCTGCCTGATCCCAGTAAATTCAAACATGAGGCGAGAAAAACAAGAATAGATTCCAATAAATTTCTATAATTATATTGGTTGAGACTTGAGAGTTTCTTGGATAATGAGAAGAGTATGAGCTGTATCAACCATCAAGAACAATTAACCTACTTCAACGTACAAAGCTCAAGTTGGCATGCACGCACCAATCCGAAGATTAGATGTTGTGAAGGTTGTAGTGCGTGGCTGATTGCCTTGTGTACAAACCCCCCGTAAAATCTTGGTGAACATCTAGTGGATTAGCTAGGTTGACGTGAGTTGTCCCGCAGACGTAAGAAAATTGCTTCGAATTGAGTGAACAATTCCTGTGTACTTATTTTTATTTCTTGTCTTTATTTTGTTATTTAATTTCTCGAAATAACTTAATTAATTGATACGGTATTTCTTAATCTAAAATCAAGTAGAACTTTTAGGAATAACTTGCATTCAAGATTCACGGCACTTTTTCAAATACATTTACATAAAACCTTACCTTCAATTTCTTCTTCAATCGTCTCAAGTGCATGTATTTGTTTTGACGTATCCCTTCGCTTTGTTTTGTTCTTTGTATTTCTCTTTGTTTTTCCTTTACAGTTCTTTTTACGCCCAAAACAGCTGCAACAACAACAAAATTTCGACCAACAATTGCAAGTTTTACTGGGCCATAGAGGCCGGAGACGATTGCTTTTATTTATTTATTTTTAGTTTATTTTAATTAATTATTTTTTAAAAAATATTTTAAATTGGATGACCGGTAATATATGGAAAGAATCTGTAAATTGGACAAAATGCTTGAAATTGGTTAGTTTAAAAACTCAATTTCAGCCTTTTTTTTTTAGTTCAATGATCTAATTGTATTATTGTGTGTCGTTCAATGACTATTTGACCCTTATTCCTACTATATAATATACAAGAATGAAGTTTTTGTGATTTCTTTCATCACCTAAAAAGATTTTTTTTTTTTTTTTTTAAATAAGAATTATCTTTTCCATCCAAAGAAAAACCATAATTGAATGTATAGATTTTTAAGGCTATCACTAGACATAAGATATTTTTATATTTAACGACATGAAGATATTAGACACCGGCCGGCTTTGGGTTTCTGGTTCATTCTCAATTTCCGTTTTGTGTTTCTGATTTGGACACGACTAGCTTCTTCAGTGACCCATCAACTAACTTAAGACGTTTGGTCCAACCTTGTCTACGTTCATGTGTGACCCGCCACAATTTTTAGTATCAAAAACTTCCAGAAGTTGGTATCATTAACTTCCACTCAACTCCGATGCTCGTATTTCGTTTAGTCCTTGTTATAATATGCGCACATTTTTTTTTTTCTTTATTTCGTTTCTCCAATCAGGCCGGTTCTGTATAGACCTGCTCTATGAAGTTTGGTATGAGAAAAACGAGAAGCGAAAATGCAGAGCAGGCCTATACGTTTAGAAAAAGCGAAAAATTAGAAAAAAAATATAATACGAAGGAAAAAGAAGAAAAATATCAAAAAAACTAATAAAAATTTTATGTCAATAATATTATTACTAGTAATTTATAGGAAACCTGTAAAAAGTTTTAGATGAAAAAAAATTATGATTTATTGTTTTAAATATCACTTATTAAAGATTATGGTGCGACATGAATAATCAGGAATGGTTCACGGTCCGGGATGACACTTTAGCCTTCTTTCTTTTGGGTGCAATTAAGTTATTTTCAAGCTTATTGTAAGTGCAGATTATAGGAATCTTATGCACTCTTTCGATGACTGCTCTATCCATTTCATTCTTTATCTTTTAATTACTTAGCTCATTCTTTAACTACACCAGCTTATTGCCTAACTAATATTTTGTACTGAGATTCTGCCTCTCCTGATTTTATTCCGTTGCATCTATAAATTGTTTGGTTTTACTTTCAAAAAAAAATTATTTTCAAACACTTTGTGATTTTAATGTCATCATTATTACTTTTCATAAGGAAGGTCGCAGGACCAGCCCTGGACATGCATGTTTGCCTAGGACCATTCACAGGGCCCCCAATTTTTGGGGGCCCCATCATATGTATATATATTATACAGCAGGTTGTGTTGCAGCCTGCTATATAGTATATATACATATGTTTTTTTTTATTTTTTTTTAACAATTTGGCCTCCAAAATTTGGGGGCTGAATTGGAAAAAAAAATAAAAAAAAAATTATATACATATATTATATGACCTGTTGTATAGTATATTGCATAAATACGTATATACTTTTTTTTTTAATTGGGCCTATAAATTTTGGGGGCTCAATTGTAAAAAAAAAAAAATTAAAAAATTAAAAAATTATATACATATATTATATGAGATTATAAAGCTAGAACAATATTGCAGTAATCATGCATTCACACCAACAAAACATCATCATAAACTTTTATTACTTTGAAATTCTTACTTTGATATATATTCTTGTTATTCAATCCCTAATCTCTAATTTTCCTAATCTCTTTTATTCTTTAAAGAAAAATTTATTTGATGCTAATTTTCATAAAGAAGATCAATGTGATTGTGAGACTGGAAAAAACAAAATTTAAATGATAGTGTTCACAACAATGATAAGTATCACTATGATGATAAAAATGATAAGAATGTTGATAGTTATTTAGACTATGATGGTCACAATGATAAACCAAATTATTCATTTTTATTTGACATATATGATCCAAGCAATTGGGATGCCATTGACCAGGGTTGCAAAGAATATTGTGCCTAGGCGCTAGGCAACGGCCAACCGCCTAGGCGCCGAGTAGGTCGCCGTGATTTTAAATAATTTTAAATTTTTTTAAATTTAAAAAATAAAAAATAAAAATCATGCGCCTAGCGATTTTTTCAACCTTTCCCTTGAATCTAGATTAATATATATTTTTGTGGAAAGGGGCCCAAATTTAAATGCCGCACATGACCTCTATTTTTATTAGAACGGCCCTGGTAATAAGTTTGACTCTCATTCCAATTCAATGGTTGACATATTTGTTGAGCAGATACTATTGATATGATAGTGTGTACTAAAAAAAAAAATTTACTTTTAAGCACACTTCATTCAAATTTGTAAACATATCGAATCCAACAGTTTAAGAATTAAAATAGTTGATAAGTAATCAAATTGTTAATTAGTGTAATAACTATAGTGATGAGGAATTGAGGATACTAAATGTTGTATTATAAATTTTGTAAAGATCTATCTTATCGAATTCAATACTTCAACTTTTTCAATTTTATCGCTCTAATTTTATTTTATTTTCCAATGGAGTCTTTGTACATGTTGATTCATAAAAGTTATCATTCGTACTATATTAGGATATTTAAAAAATGTCACGTTTCATAAATATATCAACATCTATAACTTAAAAAAGCAAAAACTCTTTAAATTTATATTTAAAAGATTAATATTTACGGAGTATTACATATACCTTTATTTTTTTTTTAAATCAAAAAAGAGAGAAATAACCACAGAAAAAAAAAACAAGATTACTAGAATTTAGAAACACTACATAGGCCTCAAGACCTCCAAAATATGCATTGAGGGGATGCTTGATCATTAATAAACCTCAATCATGAATTAATATTTTTGGTGAGGAAATCAAATACTCTATTCTGTTATCTAAAAATATGAATCAACTACGACACAATCTATTACGGAGTATTTATTTACACTTAATATATATATATATATATATATATATATATATATATATATACCCTCTCTCTCCATTGAATACAGAAAGAGTTCTAGTGTTTTATTATGTATACTTTCAATTTATATTTCTCACTTTTATTCTATGATATAATAAATAAATATAAACTATTTTCATTAATAATTTGAGAGTGAAACAAACATTGAGAATAAAAAATGAAAGTTTATATAATATTTTTTATAAAAAAAATACTTTATAAATAGGTGTGTCTAATGAAATTGTGATAATATCTTCCGGGAGAGGGGTACTAATAAACTAATAATGCATGGAAGGACAATATGTACCAAAAAGAAATACGGAGTAATTGTAATAATGTGATAGGAAATGATTAGTAATTAGAGGTGGGGTCCACGACTCGGACCCTCTTGAGTCTTGATTAATGATTATTTTAGATCCATCATTTTCTGGCAGATATTTTTATTGCACTTTTGCATATAAAATGCCGCGTAAGCACCAAAATATCTTCGCATCTCTACACCTCACACGCACTCTTCTCTCTGACACGTCATATCTTCAGAACTCCGAAGGTTCTAGAGGTTCGACACCGCAACCGTTAATGTCCGCCGCTAACGGCGCCGGCTTCTCCGCGACTCCGGTGGAGGAGGAGGAGGAGGACTTGCTCGAGACGCCAGTGCTCGACGCGGGCCGCGCCAATCTCCTGCAGAGCATAGCGGAACAAGGCGGATACGCGTACGTGAGCATGGAGGCGCTGGCGGCCGGCGGCGACGTGAGGGCGGCGGAGGCGGCGAGGGAAATGGCCTGGGAGCAGCTACACTTGGGGCCGTGGCATTCGGTTTTGCCTATCTGGAGAGACGCCTACTCCATGGCATGCCTCCGCGTCGCCAAGCTACATTACGCCGCCGGCGAGTTTAGCCAGGCTATTCGGGCCCTCGACATGGGCCTGATCATGGGCGGCCCGGCCCTCAGAGCTGACTTGAACCTCGCGATCCAAAAAGCCTCGAAGAAAGCCAGCATTGCTCTCGATTCCTCTGTACAAAATCATAACATTGTTTCCGAAGAAGTGAACATGGCGGAGGTGAGGTCCTACTCTATCAGCACAACGTACCACTTTTCACTTGCTCTTCCCTATATGATAAAATAAATAAAAAGAAAATTGTATTTTTGTTCTTCAGTTAACCGAGTATCTATTTGGATATGCAGATTTCGAGAATTTTACCTGCAAGATCACTCTCTTGTAAGTTAGTAGTGAAAAGGTCTGCTTTGTCCTTGGAAGGGTTCATACAAGACCATTATATATCTGGAACTCCAGTCATAATTAGAGGTTGTTTGGATCAATGGCCAGCTAAGAGCAAATGGAATGATTTGAACTACCTCAGAAGTGTTGCCGGCTTCCGCACAGTGCCAGTTGAGGTAATAATCGAGATTGCTTTTACTTCACCATTACTGTGATCTTTGTATTCATTCATGTTTACTATCACATAATCCAGAAAGTAAATTTAGGTGCCCTTGGGAAAACATATGATTGTAGATTGTAAAGATATTGGAAGTGTTTGGTAGATAGCTGTTAGCTGATTGGGTTAGTGGATTTAATTAGTTGATAGTATTAGGTGATTGTAGAAAGATGTTTGATAAATTAGCTATTAGTTGATAGTTGATTACATGCAAAATGACTTTATTAAAAAGCTGATCGAAAAACCATTGAATTTTAGCATTTTAGAGTAATAAGCTGGTACAAAAAAGCTAATTAATCAAACACTTATATTGGCTTTTAATCAAGTCAAACAGCTAATAGTGGTCAAATAAGCCAAAATTGGCTGATAAACTAATTATGTTACCAAACAGGGATATATATACTAGTGGAAGTTATCTATTGACTGATTATTAGCTTAAAGAAGTTATACTATCTATTTATTACATATAATCACCATAATTTAATTAAGCTTTACCAATGGACATTGAGACATTCCATTGATTTGTGTTGTGCTTGTCTATAATTGTGCATATAGGCTCATTCTTGGTGTATTTACCTTTCATCCTTTCCTGGATTGCTGGATACTTGTGTACTTGACTAATTTTTATGTGGAAATTGTAGCTTGCTTTCTTCTGGCAATGTGGTGTGGCTACATTCTGTGCCTTAAATCCTTTAAGATCATGTTAGTGTCCTAAGTTCATAATCATGTAATCAGAAATTTCTTTTTACTCCGTATGAATTCTTGGAATTAATCATCCAGATTGGAAAGCACTATTTGTGCCCAGAATGGAAACAAGAACTAATAACATTCTCTGAGTTTCTTGAGAGGATTCAGTCTAACGATCCCACCTCCACTGAAACTACATACCTAGCTCAGCATCCATTATTCGATCAGGTAAATAAATTTTTTGTATACGTTTAAGGTAAATCATAGTATCTAGATGGCAATCGCTTGACTGTTTTCTAATTGCCAGATCCAGGAGCTGAGGCAAGATATTCTTATCCCTGATTACTGCTCTGCTGGGGGTGGGGAAATCAAGTCACTTAATGCGTGGTTCGGTCCAGCTGGTACAGTGACACCCCTGCATCACGATCCTCACCATAATATTCTTGCTCAGGTATCAATTAGTGAATACATAAAACCTGATTAATCTATTAGATTAATGATAGATTTTGGCCATGTTTTAGGGTTCCTCTGTTCTTGCCTTTGCTTTTATGATGGTTAATTTCTACTGCTACTTCTGTTGGCTTCCATTACCTATATTTGATTGTATCCACTCATTGTCCTCCTCCTCACACACTTTAATAGTTGTCCGTTGTTTCCTCTATTTTTGGTATCTTTGGATCATTGTTTAATCTTCTAAATTCTGTAAGATTGAAATGTATTGAGAGTAAACCTACCAATTGTTGGATGTTGCTTAAAGTTTGACCAGTTTATCAGGACGAAAAACAATAGGAACAGCCTTTAATTCTTTGCTGCTATAAGGTTTGGGGTATAGGAACTGTGTTGAGTGTGATTTGCTGCATTTCCATTTATAAGATAGCTTGTGACTACATATGTGCTACACCTCAGTGACAAATGAATATTCATCTACCCAAGATTTGGCCACATTATGTGATGGAATATTGATAAACTAAGAATTGAAAGTCTGGGGAAAAAATAACTCATTCACTGGTCAAGGGATTATTATTTTTTTTTGATGATGAGGGGAACCCCACAACCCTTTCGAGTGAGTAAACCCCGTCTTGTGATCCTAGCCGACAAAGGGCCACAAGGAAGTAAACCCTGCCTAGGTTATCTATAACTGACCGGCTCAAACTAAGAGGACAAGGATTCGAACTCGTGACCTTGTGGAGGTTACAAGTGTGGATCTCTTGCCATCTTGGCTGGGATTACTCCTTCCTCCGTAGAGTTTCAAGTGATTATTTATTTGTATTGATAATGGTGTTGGAGCTTTGTGAGTTCCATGTGTTTGAGTGTAGATATATTTACTTTCAGGTGGTTGGCAAAAAGTATATCAGGCTTTACCCTGCCACAATCTCAGAAGAGCTTTACCCACATAGTGAGGCCATGCTTAGCAATTCCAGCCAGGTATATATTTAAAAGTAGTTATTAGTAATCATTTAATTGTGATATTAGCGTATAGTAGTATCTGAGGGTGCTGTGAAATGTATGTGTTGAAGGTTGATCTGGACAATATAGAGGAGACTAGAGAATTTGAGAAGATAATGGAGGTTGAGTTTGAGGACTGCATTTTAGAGGAAGGAGAAATGCTGTACATTCCCCCAAACTGGTGGCACTATGTACGCTCTCTCACTACAAGTTTTTCGGTTAGTTTTTGGTGGAACAATTCATCTCAGACTTGACTCCTCTATTCTTCTTCTTGTATACCACTCAAATCAAATGCCAATTTATGTCTCATGGAATAATTCTAAATCACTACTTTTAGACAATTTAATATTATATATATTGTGATGCACTGATGCTCAAGGGCTGTTTCTAACTGTTCCGTTTGAGAATGAGGTCTTGGGGGTGTTCGTTCTGAGGGAGAGAGGATCTGAGCTTCTTGACGTTTAGAGGTGTGCTGACAAAAGTTATAGACAAGCATTTTTCTTGTTCAAGGGAAGTTTGAGAGCCAAGGCTAAGAACTAAAGAAAGGTGCATATGATATGCAATTGTTATACCATTGTCCATCTTGCATTATGGATATGGTTCAAAAATTATGTATTTGTTGTTAAAATATTATGTTTTTCAGCTAACAGGCTATGTTCTTGTAAATAAATAAATTGAACACATATAATAGGTTAACAATAAATACATATTAACATATTATGTTTTTGTAGTTAACAAACATATTATGCATCTTCAACACAAGACATATACACATGTTTTATAGTATATAAAAAAAATTTATAACGTGAATTGAACAATCAAACAATCGTTGTCAAAATTAAAATTAAAAAAATGATGTTGTACAGAACCATGGTTCGTAGTGCACTGTGGACCCTTATCCACGGTATAATGATTGATGTATGACAAGCAGGTCAGGCAAAGAAAACATTATAGTGTACCCATTCATGGCCCACAGCCATACCATACAATTGTTATACCATGGACTAGATTTGTCTTGCATTGTGGATCCTAGTCCAAAAATTATGTGTATGTAGTTGACATATTATGTACCTGCACTTAATGGTTTATGTATATGTAAATAAATTGATGACACATAATATATTAACCAACATATTTACAATTAACGTATTCTTTACTTGCACTTAACAGTTTATGTGCCTGTAGTAACCATTTATGTTTTTCTGTAGTTACCATTTATGTTTCTGTAATTTGTTAAATCTAAATAGTCTAACTATAATGAACCATAGTATACGAGAAACCTGACCTCGTATGAGAGCGGAAGCGTAGCCGTGTTGATCTCCAGCCATGGTTGATATTCCGGTTGTCCGTGTTTTGCCTCAGACTAGACTCAAAACCCTAGATGGTGTATTAGTGTCTACTGAGCAGTAGGAGTACCGTAACTGAATGTGCTAACATCAATCATCCTGTATCCCATCAATCCAGGATTATATTAGGCACAGAGTTTGGTGGACTAACAACTTCTAGTTATTCAATCCAACCAGACCACTTAATAAGCCTAGTCCACTTGCACTACTTAATTAAGGTCCTAATATATAATATATAATATATATTATTAGGAAAAATCTTACATTCTCCCACTTGGTGCAAGTACTAGCACAACATTCATCAAAGAACAAAATACACGAATCATAGTGATATGTCATCTATTTAATCAGAGTAGTATCCATTATGGTCACATGCATTTTAATTCTCCAACTTAAGTCCTTTATGAACAGACCCTATGTTTATTCTTGGTGCCTTAAGGGATGTTCCTCAAAATACATATGTGCACAACTGAAGGAGAAAACGCATCCAAATTGTACAAAAGAGTACACTGTATGATCTCTAAAACTTTATAAGCATGCCTTAAGTAGATATCTCTTAATGTTAGCATAATGCTAACTATATTCTATGACTTCTTTATAAGTTAACTTTATGCACTACCTCTAACGGCTAAGAGATTACAGTTGACACGTCTATCACTCCCACTCATCAAAAATAGCCAAAAGATAATCAAGTCACAGAAGCATTCCAATAACTTAGACAATAAACCAAACGTCTAAGTCCATAAATTTGTCAAGTCACAGAAGCATTCCAATAACTTGTCTGTAGGCTAAAGTTTTATTCAATAGTATTCATTACAACCCTTACCATAAAAAAACAAAAAAAAAAAAAAAAAAAAAAAAAAACTTAAGAGATCATGTTCCTTTTCTTAATCCCTGTGGGCAAATTAAAAAATATGATATAAAGTTTATATCATAAAATTAACCTTCATGATAGAATTGGAAATTATTTACAAAATAAATAAATTGATTTATTTATATCATCACTGGTAAAACCACTAAACTACATTTCGATACATAATTGCATGTGGGCTAAATTATGACCGTAATTCAGTATTTCATTCTGATTAATCATACAAATATAACGAGTGGGCTAAATTTCATCATATTACATACAATTAATCACAAATGGTATGCCCAAAACTTTATGTGATCAAAATAAACCGCTTAATATATAATTTTAACAGATTAAGGATGTTGTGGCCACTCCAAAACCAAATTAAAATTATAAGATCACTAGACAATTATCAATTCATTGCCTAAACTTTATGTGATTGAAACTTAACAATCTTAGGTAGTTGAATATGTTGTAGCATTTCCTTAATTAACCAAGATTGAAAACTCAAAATATTTCAGTAAATTAAAGATGCTTTGACTATTCTTTAATGAACCGAAATAAAATCATATTGGCAAGGAATACTTAAAATTTTCATAAACGGATTATACCAAATTGTGATGAGAAAATCTAAATATACTCCAAGGAAAGGTGGTTAGAAACAAAGTCTCACTGAAAACTAATTCCTTAAATAGAGTATCAATTTAAGAAGACTAGTGGCACAAGATGTTCTTAAGTCATGGCCATTAAAACTAGTATATCTCTCCGATTCAAATATACTTAATGTATAACTGTTTGGGGGTATGAACCTAAAACTAGGGACGGAGGTATATGTGACTTGCAGGGGGCCTAGGCACCCCCCCGCCCCCCCCCCCCCACCCGAAAGCATCTCCCCACCAAACAAAAGTTTAAGCTTTCAAAACCTCACCAAAATACGAAAGTATTTGCCCCCTCCAAGCAAGGGAATGTTATGCTGTGAGCACCGTGTCCATCTTGCAAGGTGGACACAGTTCTATATTTATAATTTCTATACTGTAGATTTATAATTTCTATACTGTAGATCCATAATTTCTATACTGTAGATTTATAATTTCTATACTGTAGATTCATAAAATTTATACTTTAGATTCATAATTTCTAAACCGTAGATTCATAATTTAAATACAGTAGATTCATAATTTCTATACAATAAATTCATAATTTCTATACTGCAGATTCATAATATCTGTACTGTAGATTCATAATTTTTGTACTGTAAATTCATAATTTATAAACTGTATAGTTATCAAATTATGAACATATAGTTCTGTGATTTGTGAAAACATAGTTCAACAATTGGAATCTAAAGTATAAATTTTATGAATCTACAGTATATAAATTATGGATCTACAATATAGAAATTATGAATCTACAGTATAGAAATTATGGATATGGAACTGTGCCCACCTTGTGAGCCCGTGTTCACAACATAATTTGCCCCAAGCAAGCTTCAAAACTCCGAGTTAGTTTTATGTTAGTGCGAGAACTCCTGTGGTCGGTGGTGTTTTGAGTAAATTTTTTAACTAAATTTTATAGACTTGTGTTTTGAGCTATTGCTTTCTTAGCTCTGGAGTTATTTTTTCCTCTATCCTTTGATTTCAAAAGTACTTCAAAAATGAGTTTAATCAGTTTCAGACTCTCAAGCTCCAATTAGCCATTTGAATTTCACATTATTTTAACAGTACTAGTTTGGCATATACTATGTTCTATTCATTCTTATGATTTGTAAAGATTACCTGCCATATTTGAGGGTTAAAGTGTACATACCTTAATTGACTTGCCAATTTGTAAAGATTTACAAATTGAGTTTATGTTCTATGGACACTGGACAATAGATTGCTATCTAGTTAGCTTTTTAATTTGCAAATGAAATACATTACAATGGTATTTATTATTATAATAATAAAAATAAACTGTCATTTTGCTACCCATCTTCGAATTTTTACTACTTTAGTCTATGTCTAATTATTTTTTTCTTTTTAATTAGTTTAATTGTGATTGGCCCCCCACGCCAAAAAATTCTGGCTCCGTCCCTGCCTAAAACTGTAGGGTGTATACCAGAAAAACTGTATGATTCATCTATGATTAAAGCTTAAATGGTGAACTAAATTAACGGACTTAAGCGTGCTTAACTTCAGGCACTACCGCAACTAAAGTTTATGCATAAGTCCAACTTAATAAGGAACTAATATAATTCCATCCTAAACTTATGCATTACTAAAGGGATATTAAAATTGCATATTTAAAAAACATAATATTATGCGATGGACAAATATGCACAAAATTAAACATTAAACTCATATATATTCCAAATAAACTGCATAACTGTTAGGACATGAGTAATATTTTGTGGCTAAAATTCATCCTTGAAGTCTTTTCTTTCAACTGTAGGCAACGCATGCTCCATGTCCACTTCTCTTGCATGTTTGCCGAATGTATCGGATTTCCACAAAATTGTCGCAACATTTGTTCGAAATCATTGTATAAATAGGTGCTTAGTTTGTTGCTTTAAATGCATCAATCATTATCAATTCATCCTTCCTATTTCTTTTTTGTCCCCACGTAGAGTATTATATATATATATATATATATATATATATATATATATATATATTATTTATCTTTCTCTTTATAGAGATTAATATATATATTTATATTTTCCCAATCTTATTAATTTATTTGTCATTTCTATAATTTTCTTCATTTATATATTTTCCCTATTATTTAACTTCTATAATTCTCAATTTTCGATTCTTCGCTTCCGCATTATTCCGCTATATTCCTAACAAGTGGTATCAGAGCGGTTTATTTGAGAATTATTTTCAAAGATGTCGACTGTCACTAAGTTCGATATCGAGAAGTTCGACGGGAAAATTAGCTTTTCTATCTGGAAGGTTCAGATGGAAGCCGTTCTAACCCAGAACGGTTTGAAGAAAGCGCTAGCCGGGAAGAAGAAGAAACTGGCTACAATGACAGATGAAGATTGGGAAGATTTGGATGACAAGGCACGTTCAACCATTTTTTTGTGCCTATCTAAAGAGGTTCTACGTGAGGTAGTAAGTGAGACGACTGCGTCAAATTTATGGTCCAAGCTGGATACGCTTTATATGGCCAAATCTCTAGCGAACACACTGCGCC